AAAGTGTAATTTTCACTGTCTTCGTATAGTTTTGAGAAAAGTGTGTTGTGCTAGAACGTGAAGTTAGCACATTTTTTAATTTTCGGTTTTTTAATATTAAAACTGCGGAACTTTTGCTTATTTATAGTAAGAACTGTAGAACTATGTAAAGTGCTACTAGAACTATCATTATTTTGTAATAATAAATAGAACGTCGTGCTAACTTCACACACACTCACGCACACCAGGCGCGTGCTTCACTGACGTGCGTTCGGCTAAAGTTCGGTGCTGATTTATTCAATAATTACTCCTTTATTATATGTAATAGAAAAAAAATGGTTCAGGACTTTTCGACTCAGTTTTACTCCTACTTGCCTACGAGAGATTTTACACTGATTGTCGGATACCCTGTATATGTATATTTAAAAAAAAAAAATTTTCGCGGATATATTTGAAGATACAAGAAGTCCGAGATAAAATTTGAAGATGAATACAGGATTTCTTTTGTAAGTAAAGTTAGGAAACACTTTGCAAGAACTTTTCTCTCTGTCTTTCTCTCTCTCTCTCTCTCTTCTAAGATAAATATTAAAATTAGAATAGCAATTTCTTTTCAAATATGTGAATACTTGAAATATCAAAGTTTCTGTGCTACCTAGGGATTTACAGGATACAACACACTTTTCAAAGAAAAAGAGAGAGAGAGAGAGAGAGAGAAAGTTGCACATAATTAAAAACAATTCCAATGTTGTAGTACCATAAATCAAAATAAAGTGCCTAAACATTTAAAATAATTGACAAATAAATACATAACCTCGTCCTCCGGAAGTCCCGTCCGCCGTTCGAACACAAGGAGTATCCCGTTCGGAGCCCCTCCCCCCACCCCCTCGAGATAGAGGCCTTCGCGAGTTGAGCTCTCACTTAGCGACCGCGGTGTCACGATCGGGACCGGCGCATTAGCATATCTCTCGACGATGCAATGTGTAGGGGGTGCGAACGGAGTAGCGCAAAGAGAGGAGAGGCGGAGAGACAAGAAGAAAGAAAGAAAGAAAGAGAGAGAGAGAGAGAGAGAGAGACAAAGCGCGCGAAACGCCGTAATAGCGGCGAGAGCGATCTTCTCGTAGGTCGTGAAAAGGCGCACACGATCCGTAATGCGAATCGCAAAGGGTTCAGAAGGAGGAGAGCGAGAGTGAGACGAAGAAAGGGCGGAGAGGGCAGAAGACTCACTCAGCGCGAGCTCTTCTCTTGCTGCTGCTGCTGCCTGTTACCTGTACGTCGCGTGTTTGCCTACCCGCGTCACGATCAGGATCCTATTTGCATAGCGCCGATGAAGCTGCTACTGTCCTGCAATCTTTCGCGCAAAGGATTTCGCGCGAAACGTACATACGTGGGTGTGTCGTAAAGATTAGAAAAATTTTTTCTGAACGTACTTTAAGGAGTTGTTCAAATAAAAGAGAGAGACGAAAGTGAAAAAGATTAAAAATATTTTCCTTGTATATGATCGACAATTAAGAAATGTATACACCGACGATATAAAGACAGATTTTTTTTTCTGGTTTCAAAAGGTTCGAATTCTTTCTCGTACGTATTTGGCTTCGTATGTTTCTCAGTCACACTCGGAAGACATATAGAGTGGCGTCTTTTTTAAAAAGGTTTCCACTTTATGATGTTTAAACCGAGATCGATTGCCGAGACCGTGACTGAAAAGAAGGCGGAAAAGAAGGGTTGGAAAGCAGGTATATAATAAATGTCCTGCATACCTACTTATTACTCTAACGAGCGAACGCTTTTTCATCACGCGGCGTAGAGAGCACACGCGTGCTTTCGGTCACGGAAATCGCGCGCGGATGATTTACCGACGCATCACGTGCACCCACGCGACTTCTCAAGAGCCATCGGTACGCATCTCTGATTGTTTATCGATCTTCGTCTCATTAAATTAAAACCGAACCTCTCTCCTCCTCGACTTCCGCTTTTCAGATACACGTGCGCGCGTTAAATTTCTCTTCTCGTGAGCTTAGTCGTTCGCATAGGATGAGATTTTTCTCGACGATAAAACAAAGAGAAATGTTGCGAAATTTTTTTTTCGAATATCACGCGTTCTTCGGTGCATGTTTATTTTCGTCCTTGATTCACTTAAATTTATTTAACGTCAGATTTTTTGCAAATAATACGCAAACAAACGAGAGATAAGATTTAGCGATCAAATAATTTCAATCCTGTCAAAAATTCTTCTTAGACTTCTCGAATCAACGAGAGAGTAAAAACTAAGGAAAATATTAATAAACTAAAATCAACAAAGAAAAAACGGGAATTTAATAAAAAAAAAAATCTGACGAACTTATTGTTGCGTGATGCGTCGATCGCGTCGGCAAAATCGGGCCGGAATTTGAGGCTCATTAGCTACGGGGAATATCGGGAATAAGTCGGAGGGTCGTATCTCAGTGCGGTAGAGGGACAGGGGAGATCGAAAGTACGAGCTTCCGGCTCCGTTCTTTACTCCGCGAGAGTGGAGTTGTTGTGCGGGCGAGCATTCTCGCTTGTGCGATTGCTGCTCGCTTCTTGTATAAAACGGCGGGGGCCGAAGGTGTACACGGGCGCGGCGCGGTATCGGTTCCGAGAAAGGCTTATCAGGTCGCGGATATGTTAATGGCGTCCGTGTTTGCCTCCCCCTGTGCCCGCCACCTTTTCGAGATATATTGCACCCCAACCATCGCCGCGACGGTTAGAGGTGGTTGGGTCGTAAGCTAGTGGTGGTGGTGGTGGTGGTGGTGGTTGTTACAGCCCTCCCGCGATCGACAGCATGTGCATGTGCGCATGCATGTGTAATTAAGAATGAGAATGCACCGAGTTCACGACCGGGAAAAGCTTTAAGGTGAGAAAGAGAGACGGTCTGAAATCAGTTGCGATAATCGCTATATTCAAGTTTGTTTTTCTTAAATTTCTTTGTTACACTTTGCTTCGTACGCTTCAGAATTTCTTTGATATTTCAGACTTCTCAAACAATTGTAGAACTTTGAGATAATTTTTTAAAGAAGTTAAATCAACGGCACAAGTCCGTCAAAAACCGGAGAATGTTTATTCTTTCTCTCTCTCTCTCTCTCTCTCTCTCTCTCTCTCTCTCTCTCTCTCTCTTCAAAATGTTGGTTTTTAATGCTCCTCGGTTTTTGCGTCGGCACGACGCAACAAACGAACGTTCCATTCTCGCGAATGCGAAACGGACACGTCACACGAGGCCTGGCAAGTGCAGACGTTTCACATCCTCGAGTCGATTGTGCGCTTGGATTATCGAACGTTTTACATTCTTTGATTATCGGGCGCTTAGATCTCGAGGCTAATCTGCGCTCGGAGATCATCTTGAAAATCATTCATACGGTAATAAACCCTCGGAAGAGTGAGAGAGAAAGAGAGAGAGAGAGAGAGAGAGAGAGAGAGAGAGAGAGAGAAAGAGAGAAAGAAAAACTAACCGGACGACACTTTATGGGCAGCCAGTATCGTGCGCACTTCTCTTTCTTCAATCGTAAGATAGAGAGATCTATCCGCGGTCTCTACCGCGTACCTTTTCTTTTCCAATCGCGCATTCGAGATCACGAGAAGACGAGAAAGAAGCGGCCGAGGAGGTCGCGGATGAACTCGCAGACATCGTCGTCGGCGTTGGCGAACGTATGCATGGCTGCGCAATTAAGGCTGCTGATCGTTCGGGAGAGACGGAAATAGACCGGAGAGGAGAGAAAAAGGCCAGGCACTGCCGTGGCTCTTGCACCGCGCGCTGCGCCGCCACACCATGCCACGCCACGCCGATCCATCGATGACCGCTTATTTACAGAGAAGCAGAGGAAGAAGAACACGACCCGAGCGCAGAGATGCGAGCGCGGGATAGCCCGGCGCGCAACCCTTCCGCCCAATCTCTTGAGGCATCTCTCTCTCTCTCTCTTTTCTCGAGTCCTCCCTTCCTCGTCTCGCCCCTCTTCTTCTGTCACTATCCCTCTTTCTTCTCGCCCGAGGAGGCAATTAAAGCATCCGGGTAATTCTCGGGCCTCGATCGCTCTCGCGACGACGATACAGCCATCTGGATCGTCGTCCGATTGTCTCGCAGGTGATTGAGAAAAAAGCGAAAGGATCGCAAAAAGTTTTCGATATAGTAGAAGTGAAACTGTAGAGAACATTTTTTTGTTAGTCGTAAACAAAAGTCTCACATCGTATTTGAGATTAAATAATCAACGCAGAACAATTATCAATAATTAGCAATTTACTTTTTTTTATTTTATTTACGTAAGAATTAAATATATTTGATTTTTTTCAATTTTCACATTTATTTCTCTTCAAAACTAAACTTTCTTAAGCTGCGCTTGTTTTTCCGATCATCAGCATCACTATGTATGCCTTTCCCGACGCGCGTTATCTTTGATATCTCGAGAGTCGAGTTCCCGATCGGTTTGTCTCAGCCTACACATTCGATAGGACCAGCTCTTTAGAAAGACTACTGGAGTCTGGAACTTCGACAGCCTGCGCGCGTGTCGGACATGCGATCTCTAAGGGAGTGGGGAGGGTGAAAAGCCGCCGTGCGAAGGGTGGCAATTGGTTGTTAGTCAGTCGGGGAGAGACCCGAATTAGAAGGGAGAAAAGGAAAAACTAGGGATACGCAAAGGACCGCTGTTCCGAGGGTCCATTAAGCCAGCGGACAGCTGGAGAGCGACATCGTATACTTGCACGTCCGTTTTTTCGGATATGTCTCTCAGTCTTTCTTTCCGGTTGTCCAGCAAGCTATTTCCGACCATCACTGGCGAATCGTGAAAAAAAAAAAAAAAAAACAATGCAAGAGTTAACGTCTCAGATCATTAACATTGTGTTCAAAGCTGAGGAAGATAAATGCAAGCTGTGGAACAACACCGGAAACAAGTTCATAATTCGTACGATTTATTTTATTTTTTTTTTATACTACGACATATTCTTTAGACCTTAGCAAATTTTATGAAATTACACACGAACGTACATAGTGTATTCCTGCGTCTTAAAGAAATTTTCGTGGAAGTTTCCAACACTCAAAACACACTTTCAAACTTAAAATATTTTAAGACGCAATTAGAAACTTTACTTGCGAGCAAATTTAATTGATTTAAAATGTTGATGCGTATTTTTAGCAATGTTCAATATTAATTTCAGGGGAGGATGAGGAGTGGAGTGATTCGGAAAAGACCCCGTCGGTGAGCAGCGGCGTAGATGGCGGCGGATCGGCGGTGTCTAGTCCTATCGCGCCGTCAATTGTTGAAGAAGAATCGAGCCTGCCGCCTCCAAGACTCAATCCCACGTCCTCGAGCAGCAGCGAGGACATCAGGGTGCGTCTTAACGTGCTCTCGGAAGACACCAGAAAACGTCTGGTCAGTCTCACCGATGACATTGAGGTGCGTACTTTATTCTTGTTGAAACAAATTTCTCTCTGAAAACAATTCAGTGATCACCCGACAAATTTCAGATAAAGATTTGAATTAAAAGGAATAAATATTTCATACAGATCGCTAAGAGCGTAAAAGATCGCCATGCGTCAAGCAGGAGAATGCGGGAGCCGAGTCCCAAGGAGATTGACGAGCAGCAGCAGCAGCAGCACGTGATAAAAGAAGAAGAAGGTCAACCGAGGCCGTCGTCGTCGTCGTCGTCGTCCTCGACCACCGTCCGGAGACGGGACTCCGTCTGTCGGCGAGACTCGGAGGACACCACGACCGGCATCGAGGCCAAGAGGACCAGACTCGACGACGAGGCTATACCAAGACTGAGACTCAATGCTAGTCTGGCGACGGATCCCGCTCTGCGACCTGCCGCCGTCGCCGCCCTTACCGTGAAACCCGACAACACCTCGCCGCCGAACACGACCCCGCCACTTCCAGCTGGACTCCAAAATGGTGAGTATAACTACGTCTTTAAATGTCGATGCTCGAAGACTTAAAAAGAGAGAAATAGAGAAATAAATTTCTTTCTCTCCTTTTTCGAAGATACAAATTAAAAACTATAATAAAGAAATTTTCATGTTTTTTTTTCATTAGCGATTGCTTCGGGTCGCCTGTACGTTCTGCCGACGGACGGGAAAGAGACGATCACGGTGGAGCCTGCGAGGCCGCCGACCGCTCTGATTTGTCCACCATGCGGCATTCGATTTAGTTCGGCGAGTACGCTGGAGGCTCATCGTACTTTCTACTGCGCTCATCGACCGCGCGTAGACGAAGACGCGACCAACGAGGAGGACGATGACAACAGCAAGCCCGGCAAGTCCTTCGACGTACGGAAAGCTTACGCGTGTCCGCATTGCTCGTACAGCGCCGACAAGAAGGTGTCGTTGAATCGTCATATGCGGATGCACGCCGTCTCGCCGGCGCCGCCACCGACGACAACTCCGACTCCGAACTCTTCGGCGAATAATATTGCCGCGGTTGGTCCGACCGCGGCGTCTAATGGATCTTTGAACGAGAATGCCGAGAGATATTGTAGAAATTGCGACATCAAGTTTAACTCGTTGAAAACGTACAGGTGTGTGGGCAACGAAACAATTAATTTAACACGTGCTACGTCGGTCTCTGAGGATTGACACTAAACTTTTTGTTCAGGCGGCGTTTGGTCTCTACAGACTGACGCACTGGGCTTATTTCTTGCATATGCTCACGCGTCCGAACGGACCAAAATCGGCGTAGCACAATTAACGCGTTAACAATTACATACACTGTAATCAAAAAGAGTTTAATATTAAAAATTTGTTGAAGGGCGCACAAAACGCATTACTGTGACACTAGACACGTGGTGAAGGACGCGACACCGACGTCCGCGGCACCACCAGCACCAAACATGGTGAAAGCGTCGCCGCCGACTAGCTCAAGTCCCGGCGATTCGCCGCCTCCGCAGCCCTGCCTGGCGCTGCCCACCAATCCCATTCTCATCGTGCCGTACTCGTTGTTCCGTAGCGCGAGCGTTCTCGCCGCACCCGCTCTTCCGGCTCCCGATACAGCGTGCTTCCTTATGCCAAACGGTTTGTGTAGTGAAAACGTAAACTTCGCATTTTAAACTTGCACACAGAGTTGACTGGATTTACTTCATGTCTTCAGGTTCGCTTCAGCCAATGACCAGAGGTCTCGCTACCACGCCGAACGCGGTGGTCGAGCCGCCAGCCGTTCTGAGAGCAGCAAACAAACCTGCGACGCCGGCGTCCGTGGTCGCGGCGGCGTCCACGTCGCCGTCGGCTTTAGCGCCTCTCGATCTCAGCGTTCGCAGATCGCCAGTGCACCAAGACGAAAAGGAGAACAGAATGTCACCGGCGCCGTCGTCTCTGCCACCACCCGCGAGCAGTCCCAGATCCAGAGGAAGCGGTAGTCCGAGAACGAGATCCATCGGTCCGGTTCAGACAACTGCCGGCGGCAGCGCCGTCGCGCCACCTCCTCCCGCAGAACTCGCACTTAGACTGGCCGAGCTTCCGCCACCTCCCGTTCCCGGAGTTCTCGTCAAACAAGGTGTTTCCAGGTAAACAAGAAAATTCGATAATAAATCTTTTAAAATTTTCGAAACTTTTGAAATTGTAAACTTTTACTTTTCACAGATGCAAAGAGTGCAACATCGTGTTTTGTCGCCACGAGAATTTTGTCGCTCACAAGAAGCACTACTGTCAAGCGAGGGAAACGACAGTGAGCAACAGTCCGCCGCCGATCGGCACACCGTCACCACCTCTGGTCCAGCTTATTTGTGCGGCATGCGGTATCAAATTCGCTTCCCTCGACAATCTGAACGCTCATCAAGCATTCTATTGTCCGAAGAGGCCTGAACTTCAAGAACATCACACACGGTGTTCTAAGTGCAAGGTAAACAGATTCCAGAAGTAACTTTAAAAATTATCTACGAGAGATAATCTAATAGATAAACAATATAGAATGAGAGACATCGTCATTCAGAAAGTTAGAGATTAGATTCGAAAAAGAAAATGGAAAAAAAAAGCAGTTAATGGAACAAAGACATAAAATAATGAAAGAATTCATCAATCATTGTAAGATGTTCCACGTGTTTTCTGTAATCTCTCTCGCGTGTAGATGTGAATAAATTATCTTTTTTAATCTTATCTTTTTCGAAATTCTGAACGAAAGGCAACTTTACTTAATGGAACCGTATGATTTATCGCAGGCTATAATAGAACCGGGAAGCACTCATACCTGTGTGGGCGGTACGTCAGGTGGATGGCGGTGTCCGGTATGTGGCGCTGTCAGTCCCACGGCTGGCGCCGCTCAGCGCCACATGGAGTCTCACCAAGGCGTCAAGGCCTTTCGATGCTCGATCTGTAGTTACAAGGGTAACACATTACGTGGCATGAGGACACACATTAGGATGCATTTCGAAAAACGTGGCACTGATCTTCAGGTAGAGCCATTGTTTTTCCCTCTCCACTGTTACAAGTTGTATTTTCTACATTTCTTCGAAACGAAAACACTTTTTATTTCGTCATTATTTATATTTTGTTATTTTAAAAGTAACAAAACGTTGAATCTTCGATTCTGACAAATCCTCATCTCTCGGATTAAAAACAAAATTTCAATCAAAAAATCTAAATTTTCTTAGACTTCAGTAAATTATTTATTTATTTATTTTTTTTTTTTTTTTTATCAACGTTTGAAGTGTTTTTGACGAAAATACGGATGGTTTCTATTGAAACACATTATGTATATAAGTTTTATTGATTCTCAATTAGGAAGAGAACTACATAACGTGCGTGCTGGAGAACGAGACGACGCTGCCGACGTCCGAACCCGCAGCTGCTACGACGCCGGAAGAGATTCCCGCGGAAATACAGGTGAACGGCAAAACGGAGATAAGGAAGAGCCCGCAGCCTCCGCCGCCGCCACCGCCGCCGCCGCCGCCGCCGCCGCTAGCGCCAACGATCGCCAATAAAGTGAAGCAGGAACGGGAGGACACGCCGCCACCCGAGGAGAGTCTGGATCCCAATAAGAGCGGACCGCGTTACTGCCGTTCTTGCGACATCAGCTTCAATTACTTGAGCACGTTTATTGCCCACAAAAAGTACTATTGTTCGAGCCACGCCGGCGAGGCGAGCAACAACAATAATAACAACAACAACAACAACAACAATAACAATTCCAGCGGTCATCCAACGTCACCGCCAAGCAACAGAACTGAAGCGTCGGTACTTTAAACGTGACATTTTTTGAACATAGATTTGTGCTCTTCCTCAGTTTGCTTCTCTTCCTGGAAACAATACTGAACTGCATATCCTGTGAAAAAAAAATATATTTTTAAGAAACCGCAAATGAATTCCACGCGCTTTTAAACGTACACAATTATTATACACAATTATTTTTCCCTTTCCTAGTCAAGTGTATGTGAACATTTTAAAAATATTCACTTTTTTGTTATTTTAAACAACATAATACTGTATCTAAAATTTAAAATTTAAAAAGACTCCATTTCGCGATATAAACATCATACTTAAAAAAAAAAAAACTCCAGAGTGAAGAGAAGTATAAAAGGTGCGATGATACACAACTGTGTTAATTGTTGCAAATTTATACATAATGTAATGAACGACTCTGTCGGACTTCTTAGTTGACTAATACATTGTGTGATGTTTGTTAATCCAGAGAATCGTTCGTATTTATAAGACGAAGGTATCATAGTTTGTACATATATATAGTTGCGCGTGCAATGAGAATGAATGGAAGAATGCAAACAGAACCGTAACTGTAATTAGCGTCCCAGTCTTGTCGTTGTCAAGTAAAGGACACACATCGTGTAATAATAATAAAACAAACTTAAAAAAGTGCGGGACATAATCACTTCAAAAGTGATTTTTTTTATTCGAATTTCTAACAAGTTAGAAGTTCAGTTTATTATTTAACATTTTTAAATGTGTAAATTTACATTTAGAACATTATATTTTGTTTATTGTATATATTTCTTATTGTTTATTTTTAGTTTGCGAATAATATAAGGCTGGAAGACAAATTATATTTAAAACATTGACAATTTCTAGTTGCGATTCCGTTTGCATTGTCTGCTTGATTGCTGTAGCGATTGTCGTGCCTGAATTGGTATTCTTAAAAAAATAAAAAAATTTAAAAAAATAAAATTAATGTGACGTCGCAGCATTCTGTGTATATAAAACTCGACGACCAACAAAGTAACGTGAAAAAAAAGAAAAAGACAAAAGAATGCAATTAGGCTCGAGGCCAATTTTTGAATTGATCAATCCCGTGGAGATGTGCAATTCATGACCTTTTAATAATCTCATAGTATATAGTTAATAATCGACATTTATCTTTTAAGATCCGGTACGATGAGTGTAAAATGTTGTATAATAGAAAAGTAGAGTATTACGGAGCAAGTAGTAAAACCGACACTCCCTGGTGAACGATACCAATCTCAGCTTGTGAATCTGCTAAATTACGTTGCGCAATATATATGTACGACATTTTATATATACATACATATTTATGTATATGTATATACACTGTTTTATATATATATATATATAAATATATTCTCGCGGAATCACGCCTGCGTCTGCGAATAATAACGCGCGAATGCGTCGATGAATGTCCGTTGAGTACTTTCCAATGCCGCGTCGTGAAATACACAAAGTTCGGTAAATTGACATCTTTTACAAGTAGAAAACAAAATTCAACTTTTGAAAATTATAAACTTTGATAGAGTACGTCAAATTGAAACATACGCGCGCGTGCGTATGTGTCTAATAAGCAAGTTTTCTTCGCGCTTCCGAAACGTGTGAATAATTTTAAATTTTTAATTAACGGGTATTCTTTTGTTTTTTTGTTTTTTCTTACAAAAATCTAAATTCAATATTTTTACTTAAATACACGTAGTCTGAAAGTCATGTACCGACGCGGAAAATGAAATTTGGTGACAGAAAGGATGACGATCTCAAAAAATATGCCTTCCTCTCGTTTATCGGTGTTACTGTCTTGGATTTTTATGGACGCATTCGAGAATTCGTGCATTGAATCAAAACAAACGTCACGTGTACGTGTTCGCGAAACGAAGCGAGCAACCCCTCGCGCCGTTCTCGCGAGGACACGTAAAAGTGTAAAATAAATTAGAATTAAGGCCAGTGTTACATGTATACGCAGTGTACTACTCATATCATTACGAAACTCGTTAATTGAAAAAAAAAAAAAAACGATCGTTGACCGCGCGGCGAAATCACAAAGAAAATTGCAAATAACATTTTGCAAAGATAAGTAATCTCATCCGGATCTATTCTTTCCCTCCCCTCTCCCGCCCCTTTCCCCGATCGTTAAACGACTGCAAAATATTGTTTGTTTTACGTTGCGTTGCCCACGCGTGTTATGTTGTTAATTGCGGATCAGCGTTTCCCGAGCACAAGACTGACCGTGCGCGGAGAAATCTGTAAATCCACCATTTTCCAACCACACTTGTTACGCGATATAAACTTTTCATATGTTACATGCCATATATGTCAGAAGACAGTTGTTTTCTCAACACACGCACACATCTTGACTTTTTTTTTTATCAAGGGATCGATCACACAAATTTTGCGAAAGCGAAGAAATGCGGCTAGATTTCTTTGCTTTCTTTGACTTTCCTTAATTTTTTTCTAAAGTGTTTTTCACTAATTCTTTCGATTTCTCGTTTTTTTTTGACCATGAGAAAAATAATATTCAATTGAATTCGCTTCATCACAGCCACTCGAAACACGACACTTTCCGAAATTATTGCGTAAACGATCCCTCATCTCTAGGCTTACTTCTCTTTTGCTGTTTTTATTTTGATAACCGAATTTTACACACGCGAGATATATACCTATAGAGAAAAGTCTGTAATAAACATGTAAGCGTACAAATAAAACTTTACGCCATTTACAATTCATTTCTTCTTATAATGCAAAAGGTAAAATTTCAACAACAAAAATAAAAACTCAAAATATTTGCAAAATAGATATATTTAATATGTATAAAATTTAGAAAAACACAAATAGAAACTTACAGAAATTCGTAAATACGAAATTGTTTTAACAAATCTTATCAAATTTTTGAAGTCAACTTAAAAAGAGTAGTGGATACCGACTATAGAGATCTGTAATTCGACGTTTTAATATTTTATTTTGTGTCGTATTCATTGCATTAAATCCAAATGCTTTTCCAAAAGTAGGTAAATTGTGCTAAGAAAGTGCGCTTGTTCTTTGAATAGAATGTTAAACTTCAGCATAAATTTTTTCTCTTACAGTTTTCTTCTATAAGCTCACCATATATTCATATATGTAGAATTATTTCTAAGCTTCTGTACGTATTTACACTGTATTAGCGCACTAACTACGACAAAAAAAGAACATAATGAGACACTCAGATTATGATTTGACTATCTAATTGATGAGAGAAACGAAAATATTGTGATGACAAAATAGGTTATTATATGCTATTGTTATAAATAAAAAAAAAGTTCACAAAAGCATTATATATTCATTTTCAAAAGCACTATGTAGTTTTTTATTTATTTGCTTCTATAGAAGCATTTTTCATGTGGTGCAGCACACAAAATTAGAGAAATTAGAGCAATTTAGGTTTCTAAAACGTCGAATTACAGGTCTCTATAGTCAGTGCCCTCTTAAGGTGATACAATATTCATTTCGGTGATACAAGTTCATGATGATGGTGTTCGATAAGAACTGAATGAGCAATTAGAAGCTTTAAATACATGTTCTCGTATTTACCGCGTCAGATAATCAACTCTACTATAAAATGGCATATAAAATAATGTTTCAAAAATTACAGTAAAGTATTGTAAATTTTACTGACTCAAGTTCATTTATAAAGAAACATCTCAAGAAATAGAAAAAAATAAAAAATGTATCTAGATTAGATTACGAAATTGGGAAAAAACTTATTATAGTAAAACAAAAATTTACAATTTGTGGATGTTTGCAAAGTTTCGGACATAACTTTTTTTTTACGTAGGTTTGTTCTTAAATAGAGTCAAACAATATACATATAAAGCTGTGTTGATAGCCAAAGATTTTTAAAATATTTTTTAAATATTGAAAGACATTTAAATATTGAAATTCTTCTTTTTTTCTATATTTATACTTGTTTCTGAATATGTTCAATGGTTGCTATTTACATTGTTAACAATTACTACATGCTTCTTTAAACCTTTAGACGGCCGCAAAAGCCCCTTTTGGAACTTCATACAAACCTCAAGATTCCGCGCAACGTGTATGTTCTTAATATACATGAATTTTTGAGAAATAAATATACTATTTCACCGAAAAAATGCCGGCCGTCTAAAGGTTAAAGATGGTTTCTTCCAGGTCTTGGTACAAATTCTATATTTTTGTATCATCTAGTACTGCCTTAACTATTCAATCTTTACAGCATATTTTCGTTATATTTTACCTTATTTATTCAGTGTAACAGCCAATTAATCAGTCTATTAACATGTTACATAATTCCAAATGACTTGTTACTGTCATCTGAAGAGTTTCCTTCATCAACTGATTCGCTAGTACTTTTCTGAGGTTTTAATTTACGTAACATAGCGGTACATTTATCTAAATCATCTTGTTCGCTTTCACTTGAATCAACACTGGAATAATATTTAGGTGTATTATTTGCATCAGAAGAATTACTATCACTATCATCAGGATAATCATTTTTCCAATGTGATTCTGAGTTTGAATCTGTGGTTGATTTATCTTCGTCAGAATCCTGTTCAGGAACCAAATCGACACAATGTTGTACCATTATCTTGTCACTTTCATACCATACATGACTGCAGGTTTGTGCACAATACAAGTCGTACACATACTCTTCCATATCCTAAAAATAATAATAAAAAATAATTTTAATTGTTTATGTTTTACACATATGTATTATACTAACACACACGTACAAACAAGCAGAAAAGTAACATATAAGACATATTACAAAAATTATCACATACTATACAACTTACTTCTATTGTATTACTTACTTCTTTTACTTGTTCCTTTTCTTCTACATTGTCTTTTTTTTCTACAGTATCATCATTTAATGTTTTTTCTTTTTCATCTTTTTCTGAGATATTCCAGGAATCTTCTATGTCTATAAGTGTCACCCATTTTTTGTCAGAGCTTTCAGAAATTTCGACAGAACGTTGACGATTGATAACTTTAAATCTTTCTGTTATGGAATCTGATTCTATTAATCTGGATATTTTTCCTGACACAAAAATGTTATCATCATGAGACAATGTTCGTTTGTTACAACTTCTGACCTTTTCCTGCTTGGGAAGAACTTTGGCCACATATTTTGTAACATCCTCAATCTAAAACATCATTTGCTATTCAGATCAGTTGTTTATTTTTTGATAAATTATACAACTTATCTCACCTAAAATATTAATAAATATATGTTTCAGAGCGTTTTTAGCGTAAAACGAGAGAATCTGGCTTGAAAAGTGTCATTTCTTCGTTGTAAAGTGAGTTATTTAAGTGTTAAGTTCAAGGCGAATGTTCAGGTTAGAAAATCTGCTAACGTTAACACATTGGATGCGTTTAGACAACTCAACGGTTGAGAGATCATTACTTATGATAGGACTATTCTTCAAAATCTGGTGCGGTTCCAAAAGTACAATCCAATCAGAAGTGATTATCTCTCAACCGTTGTGCAACTGTTGAGTTGTCTGAACGCACCCATTGACGTCGGAAAACGAGATATCTATCTCGTTTTACACAAAAAAAAAAAATTTATTTGATGACGGGTAACGAGATATCTCGTTTTATAAAATTGTTTACTAAAAATTCCTCGCTCGTCAATGTAAAATACGTCAATATGTTAAGAGGATACTGGATACCGACGCTAGAGACCTGTAAACCGACATTTTGAAGAATCGAAATTTCTCCATATTTACTACATCAAATGAAAAGCGCTTCTCCAGAAGCAATTAAATTAGCTAAGATTTGTATGAAGTCCTAGATTAGAGTATCGGAAATGAGAATAAATTTTTTACTTACAATTTTCTATTATAACCTAACTTAACCTATTTTCATATTGTAGAATTAATTTTTAAGCCCTACATATATACTTTGACCCTACTTCATACATACGTACAAAATAAAAGAATATTATGAAATATTCAGATTATGGTTAGAATGTGTAGTTAACGAGAAAGAGCGATTCTCAAAGTGATGACAGTATAAAGTTATCATATGCTGTCATAGCGAATGAAAAAAAGTTTAAAAGAGCATTTATATACTCATTTTCGAAAGCAATATGTAGTTTTTTTATTTATTTGCTTCTGTAGAAGCATTTTTCATGTGATGCAGCACACAAAATTCGAAATTAGAGAAATGTAGGTTTCTTAAAACGTCGATTTACATGTCTCTATAGTCGATATCCACTACCGTCTTAACGGAATCATCTACGGCACACGATGCACTTTTTGTCGCGCTGAATCGCACGCGAGCATTGCGAGAAATACGATAGTTCTGTGACCTTCAAATCACGACTAGTCAATTCCGACGATTTTAGCACAAAAAAAAACATCATGTACTGCACACGTTTTAGTAAAAACTTGGCTTTTTCCTTATATTCTTTGATTTTAAATGACGTTAGAGGGTAAGAAATGTTAAAGTTTCTCGAATAGCCTGCCAGAACTTCGATTCTTTTGTTTTACGGCAAGTTTTACGCGTCGAATAAGCATATATTTATCAACAGTCGGAGGTAGTTAAACTGCGTAATTATCTTTAAAAAAATGTCATCTTTTAACTTGTTGCGATAAAAATAATAAAAGTAATTGTATCAGTGAATGAAATATACATCGCAAATTATTTTCTTACCTGATCCTTGACAGTGCCCGCAAAATGGAGAATCGTTTGATCGACAGTTGTTTCGCTCTCATCGGAGGATGACTCTGCTTTCTGACGTTTGATTGCTGAAACTAACAGCTTCTCCTCCGGGAGAGAAGTGGCTTTCCGTTTTACTCGCAAAACCGCAGACATTTTTGCGCACACTATCGTAAAATATCACTTTATAACAAGTAGGATAGTACGTGTAACCAGTAACGCCAGATTCCGGTTTGGTTTGGTGCGCGTATGGCTCCTAGATTTAAAACGATTAGTCCATATCCATTTTTTTTGCCAGATTCCGGTCTTTCGGCAGCATGCAGTAGCAACGGTAGAATCACGTGTGCGACCCGCGTACACAGCATGGGTATGTTCCAAAATCCTACTTTGGTTACCAAAAACTATAGTACACGTGACGTGAAATATAGCATTTTAGTAACCAAGGTAGGATTTTGGAACGCACCCCATGAGGCATATATGTAATACTCCTAGAGTATGTTCCAAAATCCTACTTTGGTTACCAAAAACTATAGTACACGTGACGTGAAATATAGCATTTTAGTAACCAAGGTAGGATTTTGGAACGTACCCCTATATTGCTAGTACGGTGCCGACCTGAAGCTCACCGTTACGGTGCAGACAATATAGTAGCCTCTCTCTCCAGCTGCTTTGTGCGCATGCGGTGAACATTCAAGCACGCTTGCGCATTTCTCTTTCTCGCGTTCTTTCTCTCACTTTCCAA